ACACACGTTGATATTAAAATAAATATATAATAACAAATCGTTACACTGCAGACTCATCATTGTAGTTTCATTCGTTTGTGATTACTGACTTTCGTGTTGCAGAATTTCAGGTGTTGGAAAATAGGGTTTAAAAGTTCATAATTTAATCACTATTTATATAAACTTGTGGTCCAGGCTTTAAAGTTTTAAGGTTATCACTTGTCTAATATAATTGTCTTAGGCCTTAAAATTCTAAATTTTACATATTTAAATGTTCTGAAATTTAAGATACCTCCATAAAACATTAACCTGAACAATAGCACTGATTTAAGTACTTTGCTTCGTAAGCATATTTCATAAGATTAATCAAAATATAGTGGATGATTAGTTAGAAACAAGGTATAACATCGAAGAACTTCTGGTAAGCCTGTTGACATAAATTATGCTTCTTGAACTACAGTTAGTGACTTATCTTTAATTCTTTATTATCCAGTTTCGGTATAGTTGGTCAGACAAATGTCCAAGGAGAAGAAGTAAAAAAACTGGACGTTCTTGCCAATGACTTGTTTATTAACATGCTCAAGTCTTCATACACCACCTGCCTCCTCATATCAGAAGAAGATGAACGAGTAATTGAAGTTGAGACTGACAAGAGAGGAAAATATATAGTCTGCTTTGATCCTTTAGATGGTTCTTCAAACATTGATTGTCTCGTATCTATAGGATCTATCTTTTCCATATATCGTAAGGTACATATATATGCATTCCTTAATAATTCAATATGTTTGTAATAAAAAGCCTGCAATATACTTTGTAAATGCATTTTAAAAATCCCGGGCGTGATTGTACATCTCTGTTAACCCCTGGTATATTTTTATAGTATATACTTTAAAAATAAATCTCACTAATTTCGAGAAATTACATCATTTTTCTTCATACTTACATATGTACATGTAGATCAGTGCATACTACATAACTCTTTCGGCTTGGAAATCGATAGAAGATAAATTAAAAAACAGCTATTAACCGTAATAAGACCCTTGAAATTGAAGTCAGTTTTTATTTTAAACAGACATCAACTGGACCACCAACAGAACAGGATGGGCTTCAAAGTGGGCGAAACATTGTCGCTGCTGGCTATGCACTTTACGGGAGTGCTACAATGGTGGTTTTATCTACAGGCAATGGAGTCAATGGATTCATGTTAGACCCTGTATGTATTAATACATTTATATAATTGTTTTTAAATGTTTGAATAATAAATAAGTAAGCGTTAGAAAATTTAACCATTAAAATTTACTTATCCTGAAGTCCTTACTGAAGATTTAATTAATAACATATATATATATATATATATATATATTGTTACGACAGCGGAGGTCACGTGACGCTAGTAACATGTAATGAACTTATAGAAAAATCATGTCCCTTCGTGAAGCCTCGAGCGTTTACTAGATTTTCGGTATTCATGTATATAAAACCGCCAAGAAGTGACGGTAACAGTGGAATGTAATTGAACTGCAGACAGAGATAGAGACTGACAATTGAGTCGAGCACGTGAGTCGTTCGTTGTGAATTATAG